TCACGGTAGGATGACCCGTCAACCCGTTGAAGCTTGGCCAAACGTTGTCAACGCTCAATTTGAGTGATGACCACCAAACTTCGAAGATAAATTGGGGGGGTTTTTTTTTTTTTTTTTTTTTTTTTTGTCCTGCACCACTACCACTGCCTCGTCATTTAGGAAACAACTCACTCGTCACGGATCCAACTCCCCACGGAGACACCACCCCAGCTCATACCACCCACCAAGCTACCCGCGAGCGATTCGCGGCGGCCCTTGTCGCGAGCAGAGCCCGACATGGAGATAGGTTTCGTCCCATTGCCCCATTGTGCCGTGGCTGTGCCGATCGAGTCCTTACGAGGCGGTGGTGCCTTAAACACTCCCAGTGCTCCTCCCGGGTGATGTGAAAAGCTTCCGGTGCGCTCACCCGTGCCCGCTCTTTGCAAGGCCGAGGTTAAATTCGACGCCTGCTGGCCCGGCGGCGACACCGAGGTTGTCCGGGTGGAAATATCAATGGGGGCAGCGCCAGTCATCGTGAATAACCGGTGTAATTAATTCCGGCAGAAAAATCCCGTGTGGTGAATCCGATCGAGGTCTGACGAAGAGAAATATCCTGGTTCCCTGTCTGTTCTGCGCGATGTCACGCCAAACCCGGAGGAGGGGGCCTACTACAACGAGGTTGCTTTTTTTGTCGAGTCCTTCGAGTCCCGCGTTGAGGCGCGATGCTCACACAGAGAAATTTCAGTGGTTGAAGTGAACAGAGAAGTGCGACTCGAGACAGCCGGTGCCCCTCGATGGACTTTTGAGTGGACGGCGGTTTTAGAGCGGGTTCACAAGAGCCCACTCGGATGCGATCCCGCCTATTGGCAGAAAGTCGAGTCTTGAAGAGGGACTACCCGAGTACCTGAGTACTCCGTAAATTCTGCAGGGATGTTCAAGAAGATATTCTGTAGAGAAATGATAAGATGAGGAACAATCGGGGCAAGCCACTGTATGAGATGGTTTCCAACCCGCTCTTCCGCATTAGGACAGGCGCCGGGCACGTGATCTACGTTTCTGGGTTGCCGACTTACCAGTACGGAATATCTATAGATTAATTAGAGTAGTTAGTTAGATTTCAGAGTCGATCTTCGACTATCCCAGATATACTACCTAATTACCAACTAGTTAGGTCGACAGGGTTCACTGGAAGCGTTGGTATGTAGCGGCTATACACTGGAAACGTCACTGCCGTATGCGAATTACCTGAAACGGCCCTAGTGTATTATGACTAACAAACAAATGCCGTGGAGTCGATGATGTCGATATAATTTCATATAATTTCACGGGTTATTACATCCTGCTCTGATGGACCAGTAGTAGAGCTGCAGATTAACTAGGTCCCTAAAGTAAAATCGAGGGGGAAGATCTATTTGCTGATTGCTGCCAAATTGATACTAGCTGTATATACCACTTTCCTCCGATTACCGAAAGGTGCGAGTTGCCTCAGTGGGGCTTATTCGTACTTTCTCGAAGATGGGCACTCCGTAAGTACCTAGGTAGGGTGAAGGAAATATAGAAATATAGAACAGGGGCATATTAATATGTAATACATAAGGAGACCCTCGAAAATCCGGGGTTCTGCAAGGGGGTGATCGGTAAGATAAGAGATCTGGGAAATGTGCCTTGTTCTAAACTTTTCAGGGTTTCTTAAGTTGTCGAACACGTTGTGATCCATAGGCCTCGTTTAGCCCCTATTCCTGCATTCCTAATGCATGTCTGCATTGCAACTTTCGAATACGAGTATATGAGTCCAATAATGCGGAAGAACATTTCATCCCGGCAATTGTGTTCTCCGTTCACACATTAGCTCATTATTAGGTCCGATACACGCTAGAACGTGCGGGAGAAAGTGGGAGCTTCTAGCGGTCAGCAGAATGGATCCTCGGGATTTTAGGGATTTTAGGCGCTTTAGGGCGCTTTTAGGGCGCAATAATACCGAATCGTACCCCCCCGTACGCCGTCGGACTACGAGTACTCGTACGATTACACTTGGAGATCTGAAACCTACAATGTTGTCCGGTGTATAGGGGGGAACCCCGAGGATCTCCACCTGCGCCCGCGGTGGTAAACGAGTCTAAAATTGATTCGTAGTCAAGCTTATTGAAACTGAGACCATGCCGATTATGTCCGCTATTTCGGGTTTATTTCGGGTCCTTCGCAACGGTTGACATGCACTTGCACTACACACGCCCCCGGTACCAAAACATTGCCACCCGCGTAATCTGCAGTGGCTGGATCTTTCGATTCGCAAGCTGGATCTACTCGTATGTATAATAACGCTAATTACTATGGGATTTACATGGTACTCCGCAAAGGCGCAGACCTCGTACATTGCACAACTTCGTGCATTCTCAGCCCCATCATTTCGCCTGTCTCAGCACACGGAGCACGGAGCAAACCGAGGCTACCGAGGTGATTCCAGCCCAATAATCAATAACGGCCCGAGACTAGTGTTACATTTTCTGTACAGAGTAGCTCAGAACGAACTTCGCGGCCGATAGCTCATTTCCGCCAAACTTTCTTATTTGGGTGTCTGGGGCCAATTTTTGAGCGCATGTCGCGTCGTCGCGGACCAGCCCCCAATGTGATCTATCCAATTCAATTGGACCCTTGTCAATGACGAGTGCGAGTGCGGAGTAAGTAGTATAACTGTATGCGTAGTTACGAGTAGATTGAGGGAATACAGTAAAATCAAGTGCTAGATACATTGCGTGATCAGAAACAGATGAATATCACTTCTAAAATCAGGAACCATGTTGCATCTCCTACTGCATGTAAGCTTTGGTGGTCTCATAGTCTAAAGGCTAACATATCTCATAGGCTCTTATAGGCGGAGGGTTTGACCGAGTCAGGCATCGCTGGTCCACCGGGCCGGCGCTGACTCGATTGATCTGCAGTCCGGCTTGATAAGGGGTATCGCCCCCTTGCCAGCTTCTAAAGTTTGCCTGTCTCGATATTATCCCCGCATGACTCGTTTTGCGGGTAAAGCCTTGTGCAGCAACTCAGGACACCCCAATTGTCGGAAGACCGGTCTTTTCATTTTTGGGGAGTCACACAAGTTGATGGTTTCATAATTGGGAAGCTTCTTGGTTCTAGCTCCGCACTTGAGCAAAGGCGAGAAAACACGCCAATGGATCTATAGCTGTAGATATGTTCAACAATTGAAGAAATACCTCGAGAACGTGGTAGATTACTGAAACTCTACTAGTGAACCTACACCTGCAGGTTTCCAATCAGTGAACAACACCTTATACCAGCGCAATTAAGCTATTTTTTACAAACAGCGCTACTAAGCTAAGAGCCCCCTGATCACTTTATTTCAGCCGTGAGAAAGGTAAATATAGGTATTTCAACACAATGCCTGTCTTTGAATCTCCCTCCTGCGGGTTTGGCAACCTATCCACGGGTAGGGAATACTAAATGACCTCAAGGAAACATTTAAATTCAAAAGAACCGGCTCACGCTTCAGTTGTTGTCCGAATAGGGATCGAATGTATGAGCTTGTATTCTCAGGGTTCACCTCCATGAGAGGGATCCAGTCCCTATACAGCAGTCAGCACACTGGACCTGGTGAGAAACGGGCCCAAACGATCCTTCTCCTCGTTGCGCAATGGAAGACATATGTAGAGGGATCCAGACATCTTGCGCATCTAGTTGCGATGGAGACAGCGTTGATAGAGCTCCATCTGTGGAGCTCAGACCGACTCGACTGAATGCTTAACTTGTCCCTTCGCTTGATGGACTCGGTCTAGATCGGTACCAGACCAGTCAATTGTCTGGTTCTAGTCTCGACGTTCATATCGACAACTGTGATTACATCTTCCGCGTCCGACTCAGACTCGTTAGCTAAGGCCAGTGCCAAAGACTGCTTAACCACTTGGTTATCGGATGCGATCAGGCCATAGTGTATCCTGGATGATATATATCAATTTCAATATAAATATCTGTAGAGCTACGAACAGGAAAGGTTCGCTGAATGATAACTGAAGGAAAAACTAGTCACCTGTACCCGATGGTCGAAAACCATGCTGTGTAGTCGGATTTTGTCGAGGTCTAACAAAGTCTACTGCGAAGAACCCAGTACTGCTTCCCAGGCCTGTTCAGTATTAAGGTCCATTCTCCCGCCCCATGGGATAGGGCTTCTTCAAACTTTCTGCCATTAACCTGTCCTCGACGTCTGTAGTGTCCCAACTTGAATTTGCGATTTTTTTTTTTTTTCGACTTTCCTCCATCAAGTCGTCCTTGGCGGCTACAGCGTCCCAACTTGGATTTGCGATGTTGGCCTGGGCTTGAATAAGCCATGTCGGGCCATGCCTCGGTAGCAGGCGCCCAGCCACCGGGGATGACCCAGCGTGTCTCTCCAGTCGTGCGAATTGCCGGCCACAAAACTTCCGTATAGAGTTGTGCTGCGCTCTCGCAGCTATTTCAGTATCAAAACGCGGGAGATGCCAGTTTTTGAGCCTAGAGGGCGAGAGAGAAGAAGCGGGCAGAACCGATTGTATTAATTCTCTGGGGGGAGGGAGAGAGAGAGAAGAAGAAGAAGGAAGAAGCAGGGAGCGGATCTATCTACAAACGGGGATTGGGACGAACTGCTTACACAACACCTGTGCCAGCACCGACTGACCGCAAGTTCCAAGGCACAAAACATATGTATCCCGTTCAATGCAAGAGATGTGGCGCCTAAAATGACTTGCAGAGTCCAGCTTGCGATGGACATCATCACAATGCCAACCATCAACATCAATGTGCCATGCGAGATAAGAGTCCGGTATTCTTTACCGCTCATCATATATTGACAATTTGAAGAATCAAAATAAAGACTCTTGGCAACATCCTCATTGCCGTGTATCACGACGGCAACGCCTTCGGCAGACCTAAAAACCAGATCACCTCCTGGTACTGACGCAATGCTAGGGCGAGGGAGGAACGAAGAGCGCTAGTATGAGACTGCGCTGTGCAGGGTACTGGTGATCGACACGAAGATTATAGCAACCACTGCAGGCCCGTGTTCGGGCAGAAGGGCCGGGCCGAGATGAGTATACCCGCTGTCCATAACGAGCTGAAAATGGTGATTAATCGAAGAGGTGAAACCCGTTTGATCTCCCTTATAGGATAGAATTTCTGAGTATCTCTCTATTCGACACCGAGTTTGCCTTTGTAATTGTAATTACTTGAAGCTCGCGAGGCCTCATAAGATCGATTTGATGTATCATGTCAGGAAAGTAAGAAATGCTACTTACGTAGGTAAGTACTTGATTTCCTCTGCCGGGTGGGGCTTTCCTATAGATCTTAGTTGCCGCTTTTATGAGGGATCTTTGTTCTTTGGCTTAACTGGGAACGTGGACTGTGAACCTTCGAAGGTCGGTGAGGAAAACAATGCAATACATAGTACCTAGTGTAGAAACTGCGCCACCATACTACGTGCGCCACAGTGTAGATTTGCAGTATTTTGGTCCCTTGCCTGCGAGTTCTGTGAATAGCACGTTACACA